TACACTTTGAAACGCACACAAAAATATGATGACTGGCACTCGACAGGTGAGCAGATATACAGGGTGTCTACTTTTTCCTCAGCAATGACTGTTTAAGGGTTGTGTCTTCACCATGCTGGTTGTAAAAAAGATATGATTTTTGAACAGGTAAAAGGAACGGAAAGGTAGACTACACCACAGCATCATAGCAAACAGACAGCCCAGAATTAAATTACCTTGTCAACTGATCTTTCCCAGAGACTCTGAATTTGAATATAAGGTAAATAAACATTTGTCGAAGTTCAAGTAGGCGGCTGCGTCAGCATGTGTAGGCTGCGAAGGAACAAGTACAGGTTTATTCCATGCTGTAAAGAGAAGAAAATAAAAACAACGTTCAGGCTGTGGACCCTTCCAGGACACCTGGATTAAAACCTGAATGCCAAAACGTGTTTCTTTTCTTCTCTTTTCAGCATGGAATAAACCTTTACTTGTTCCTAAACATTTGTCTACTGCCTTACAGCATGATAGGGACCTTAGAATAGAAAATTTTCAAGAGTAAAAGCTGACCATCTGATTGAACACTTAGCTGTTATTTACAAAGGACTGACTTTTCCGTAGGCTGTTTGTTCTTGGTTTACAAAAGCAATCAGTGGTCATTTATGCTCAGCATACGTAAAAAAGAAATGGTTCAATTATCACTATAATTCCTATAATAATTTTAGCTATTTTGTTTACTAAAAAATAAAAATATTTTTTTTGTTTTGAGACAAATATTACAAAATTGTAACGTTTACCAACATCTTTTTTGCCTGTTCTGGATGTTGCCTGTATCTGATTCTGTTGTGTGTGTGGTGGAGGAGAACTTTATTTCTTGGCTTCGAGAAAAGTGCTCTGATGATTGAAATTGTCAGGGACCAGACAGAACAGAAAAAGGTGACATTCTCTAGTCTTAGGGGTTGCCAATGCAGCTCTTCCATTTCACTGTCATAAAATTATGTCTACAAAAATGGGTTTTTAAGGATCCCAAATGATTGCGGCTATGCTCATTGCTTGCACCTGGAATTTGTGAGTCTTTTTTTAAAATTGGGCATAAAAGAATTTGGGCTAAAATAAAGTAAAAAATGAAGTCCTCACAAAATCGGAGAGGATTCTTTTTTTACGTCACATCTCCTGTTCGGGGATGCTCTACACTCTTATAAAAAGCTTTCCATCCGATATTGATTCCACACTCAGAAATGGTATTGCAGATATAGCAGATGACCTCTCATCATATTAACATAAAGTTGTAAGTTAATTTAAAAACATTTTTAACATAATAATAAACGATTGTTATAAATATTACTTATCTTAATAATCCAATTCTCTCATTGTTTCTAAAGGCCGTTTAATTCTTTAATGTACTCCTGCAATTTGCAGGACTCTTTGTGGCTAAATGCCAGGAATTTCTTCTGCTAGGATGTGAAGCCGATATGCAGACAACGAAAACATTGGAAACCGTGCTGCATCTTGTTTTTATAAGGACATTTATTTGATTTACGATGGCAAAAAGAGAAAGACGACTGGAAAACGCACCTCATCTGTTTGCACAAATGTAATGCGTAAGTATGGTGCATAACGTCCCACCATACATTTTTATGACAAAGGTTTTGCAATTACAGCACATATTACATACTTAAACATGTAGTAAGACTTTAAATATTATACGACGGCTGTTGTGTGTAATTGCGTAGCGTAAAGACGTAGTATTTTGCTTTCTTTTCACTCTGTATTGATGCTACACAGGAACATCAGCCATCGGCAGTCTCGCCTTTCTCTCTGTCCAGTTGTAAATTCAGTTTGTGACTGGTGCTGAAACCGAGGCTGCAACGTCATGCAAAAACTCAAAACCTCACCCAGATAGGAGAGATCGAGAGAGCAGGGCGAGAGGCGCAAACAGATTGGAGCGGCGGAGAGGACGAAACTGTAAGTACTGTATCTGCTTTTATTGTAACTTTTCTACGTTATCTGGAAAAGAGAGGCCGTTGGGAGCGCGTTTCCGAGGCTTTTTAATGTTGACACGAAATGCCGGCGAGGCGGCGGCGCGATAGCCTCTGCGCCGTTGAATACGGGAACCGGTTTTAAAAAAAACGCATTAAAACACGGTTTGCGGAAGAGCAGGTCAAATGTCTCTAAAATATGGCGGAGCTGGAGTGGAAGAGCCCCCAACTCCTAATGTTTTACTTCACAGCGTTTCTCCGGGGCTGCCGTGGCCGCATACTGAACTTCTGAGCTCTGAAAACGTGAAGATGAACCCCCGCCTGGGTGGCAGGAGGCTTGGGGAAATGGCGTTGTGTTGTGTTTTAGCCTGTGACAGCGGAGAAGTTCAAACGGAAATGGAAAAGTTGTCGAGATTGTAGTTCACATTACGAATTCTTTTGGTGTCTCCGGTTCCTAGTCACAATAAAACCCAGCTAAGCAGGCCCGTTTTAGAGTTGGAAGATCTGATTGCTAGCTTTGTGAATCGGAGGAAAGCGAACTAGTGGCAGATGAAGCGTTATTTTACCGGGGTGCGCGTTTTGCAGGCTTGTTGTAAGCAAAGCACTCATTTGGTGTGATGTTCCTGATAACGTGCCCCGCCTAGTTCACAACTGAGTGGGGATAAGGCGAGGCGTCCTCAAGGGGGATCTTTGAGTTTTTCGTCCAAATGTCACTTGATTAGCCCTCACGAAGACACACGTACGAAGAAATGGTCATTTAAGGACTTAAATTAAAACTGGCAAGGAGCCTCGAACAAACGCGATATCTTGAAAAGGGCGAAATCTTTCATCAGTTGGATGCATTTCCTTAAAATCGTCGATTCCGGGTTTTTTTCTGACACAAAGAGGCGTTTTTCCTTTACCCGATGAATGCTGTGATGTGTGGCATGAAAGAATATTGCGCTAAATGTATGCACGGTTTGTCATTTTCTGATTCGATTATACATCTTGGGTGGTCGTCAGGAGTTTATGCATCGTAGAACAATTTAGTCCCATGTGGCCCAGCTTTAAGCCATCAGCAGACTCGTACCCTGAATTTAATAGGCCTTAGTTTTCGTAGGGGTATAGTTTCCCGTTAAGTTTGTTTTACACGAGTTTCATGGAGCTGTGACCAAACTTTTGTTACACTTCCATTTTCGCTGGACAGCACGCTGTGTTTTATCCCACCGAGCAAGTTGAGTTTCTTGAATTTGAGTTTTATCGTATGCATCTGTACAAGTATGTGCAGACATCGAAGAAGAGATATTACAATTACCACTCTTTGTCAGTCTTGGATTTTGAACGTTATATGTTGAGCATGTACTCTCTTTTCCCCCAGCATACTGATTCTGGCTGATGGAGAATGCAAAATACTGTCTAACCTCTCTCTAAGTGAACTGTTTTTGTTGTGTGGGTGCGATTGATGTTGGATAAAGTCTGCTGATATATTTTGATGTATTGGTGAGCAAGGTTTTCCTTGAAATGTTACCCGCGCCATTACAATTTTCCCAAGTCCCAGAAGTTTGGCGTTGTTAAAATTCAGATCTGCGCATGGATTGTCTTTGTGTCTGACCATGAAAATGGCATCGCTGGTTATCATCTCCATTTCTCCATGGTCTGCTTTCTCCATGCGTTGCAACAGAAAGCATGCTCAGGTCTTGCCTTTGGGAAAGGAAATGGTCCTTGTCTTTATTTCTCCACTCGGGGATCTGCTGCTGTCTGCATGCATGCTAGTAATTCTCTGTTAGCTTGTCTGATGTTTTGTGACACTCCTGCACTGAGCTGCTTTTCTCAAAATCCAGTACCAGGAAATGTGCAGGGAACGCAAATTAATATTTGCCTCCGTAATGCAGCACACATGCAATTTCCCTCGTCTCTTCCTGTAGTTCGGCATTGGGAAGACATATCAGATGCCATTTAGGTTAGGACACTCAGTCAGCAGTGCAGATAGCAATCAAGAAGCAACAGCTGTGGGATAGCATACCACTCTGCAACAAGTGGGACTGATCTATAAAGGTGCACAACAAGCTCCCCCTCCGGTTTTAAAGAGAATCTGCTGAAGAGCCGGGCATCCTCCTAGGAGAGCAATAAAACAAACCGATCGGGATTCAGCAGGTCCGAGTGTCCCGTCTCCTGAAACTCTATACTGCGAGTGCAGAAGGCATCTCCCGGCCTTCAGCAGAACCGGGGTAGGTTGGATGCGTTGGATTACATAAGGGCACCTTGAGCAATTTGGGCTGTCGTTTGCACAAGCAAGTCAGCGTGTCGTTTGGCACACGCGTGTCTGTGGTTCTCCTTTGTCCGTGAAGAAATGCGGCGGCAGCTTGAGTGGGGCCCCTAGTACCGATTGAAGCGTAGAAAGGAAAAAAAAGAATTATTGATTCGTCTTTATTCTCTTAAAAGGCTTAGGAGAGCACATTGTGGCGCGTTTGCTGGCTGATGGCCCAGTGGAATGTTACCCTGCAGTCTGTCCCACCTTCCGTGTAAAAGGGCGTCACTGAGTGAGCGCACCGTGCCAGTGTGACCTCCTCGTGTCCTGTACGAGGTTCAGGAAGGAACTCCGTGCTTTGGCGTGTCCGCGTGTCTCTTTGGTTTCCGCAGAATGCTGCCAGTGGGACTGCTTTGCGGAGCTGTTGGACCAGATGGGGAAGCGGTGTCTTGTTTGGGTTTGAACCCCTTTTTGAAATGCGATTTACTATTAAAAGTCATTAAGAAACGATTTAGGGATCATTCCGCACTGCCTGCCCAGCAACTGGTTGTAAAGGAACCTGTAGCCCAGGGGAATGGTAATGGAATGGTCCACATATTCAAGATGAAGATGGTTGGGACATAGTGTATCTAAGAATATATTTGAGCAGTGTGCTGTGCGTTATTATAGTAAGATCCACTGCACCTAGCAGAACTCTGAGAAGCCCTGGGTGGTTGTTACTTAAATAACCAGACATAAAGCACTGAAACTGCCGTGACGTAGATGAATGTTCTCTGTACTGATTAAGATTAATAGTTTGTCTTTTTTAAGTCTCAAAGGACCTCATGGTACTGGCCAGTAAACTCTTGTGAGACCTGATCATATTAAAATTTATGCAACGTGCTAGATTAAGGACTACTTAATGAAGGGCTTCTAACGAGAAGTGGTGATTTAAGCAAGGGAAACATCTAAGATTACCTATGCGTGTGAAATCCAGGCCCGGTACAGAAATTCTGAATTCCTGTTGCTGAAGAGAGCAGGAATATGGCCTTAGCTGTTGCATCTCACAGGGGCTGTCTTATTGAGTTTTTCGCTCGTACAGCACTTCCTCTTTAAGGGGCATGCACATTTCTGTGCAAGACTTTTTAGGCCAATGCATTTCACAGCCACCTTCAATAAAGCCGATTCAGAATTCTGTTCTTTCTCAATCTGACTTCAGGTTTGAAATATCAGTAATCTCAGTTTTGAGGATGTTTTGTTTTTTTGTCCCTGTGTGTTCCCATGGCGCTACAAATCCAATACTAGTTTCTCTAATAAGATTGCAGAAGTGAAACATTTTTAATCTTGATTATTTTGTCTCTATGTGTTTGTCATGAACTCTTGAGTGCAGGGCACAGAATACATTCAGTGTAGGAGGCGTAAGATTCTGAAATACGTTTTTGTTGGACACTGTTAAAGGGTGCTTTATATAAATACCTGCTTAGAAGTTGGAAGGCTGAAAAATAGTTCTTAATTCTTTCTCATATTGCTCAGGTTACTCATCAAAAGGTTCCATTTTTCTTTACAGTACTGCATGTCACATCAGGAACCTGGGGGGAATTGTATTGTACTGTACTTCCTTACAGAAGGAGTCAGAAACATGAGACATAGTGACATCGCAGAGAATATGACCATTTCTTTCTTGATGTGCCTTTGATCACAATATTAAAATACAAAAAAAGCAGTCTTGGGTGTTTCCTCCCATGCTGGGTGTTGTTACATTTGGGAACCCACTGGAATCACTCGAGCTCATGTGATGAAGACAGCGGAAGGGACGTGCGCTGTTGTATTTGAGACTGTGATCTCTTTCCTGTGTGTGACCATGCTCTCTGTGGAACTCTGTGTACAATAAGGGGAACCTAGTAACAGCTGAAAGATTCTGGCTCCTCAGCTTAAATAAATACAATAGGATTGCAGGCTCAGTGACTGTGCAGTATACCTTCACAGATCATTCTCTCCACTCTTTCTTTCTTTAGGGATTTTTGGGGTTGTTTATCTATGTCTCCCAGGCAGCTGTAAAACAGATTTTTTGTGTGTGCCAGAACTAAAGAGTAGGGTGCAGTGTCATCGCTGTCCTTTACAGATAATGGTGAGCCATATGCAAATATGACTGCAAATATGACCTTTCCATGTTAAGGTCGCACTTGATAAATGATGTTGAGTCTTTTTAGGTACAGACGAAGAAAAAAAAACTGAAGCAAAACCGGTGAAGACACACGAGTGGCAAATATCCACTTTTGTTTGGAGCGATTCTTGCAGTCCAGCTTAAGGATTTTACTGTGGTGTGCATGTTGGACTTTTCTTATAGATAACAAGTAGATTTGATGCAGACAGGCCCTGGAAGAGATCACCTCGCCTCAGTGTTTTGTACAGCGCTAACTACAGATGTGAGAACGGACGTGGTGAAGTATGTATCTGCTTCAACGCAGATTCACCTAATTGAGGTCTTCTGTGTATTTCCCTCTTATCTTGAGATCCTCAGAGTAGTTTGAGCTTCACACTCCCCCCTACCCAGTCTGTTTTTTTGCAAATATCCATAATAAAGTTAAGGTTCAGATGTATTTTGGTTCAAAAACATGTTTCTCTCTGCCTCTCTAGTGCTTCTGCCAGTAAAAACCATTGATGGGTATGATTCCTATAAAGACAACATCTGTCATGTCTTTAGAATTGCAGTTAAGTGGGAGCTGGTCTACGAGAAGTATTTATTTTCTATCAAGTGCTGATTAATTATTGCTTTTAGT